AAGAGACTTCATCTTTAGCCAATTTATAGGCTATATTTTTGCCTTCGATGCTCTTGTACTTTTAACTTTGTTTTTCCCCGATAGCCTTTTATCGCCTGGTTGCATAACGCAACCTCTACCATTCTCGGGATATATGCAAGTAGGGTTAGGGTAGGGTAGGGTAGTGGTCGTTTGGCTATCTACAATATCTGAATATGAATTGTACTTTCAAACATGTAATTTTCCTATGCTAGCTTTATTACCGTTTTTTAAAGGAAATATTTTGAATTTGAAGAATTTGCTGGCGTTTGGCAGCTTGAATGACCTTAAATGCAGTAAAATGCTGCCCCCACTCCAATGTAGAACCATTCTTAAATTCATAAGTCTTTTACTCCATACGTCTTCCTTATATATCTACAAAGACATGTAGATTTCAAAAACTTTTAGATACGTATACATAGTTGCATATGTTTCTATGTAAACGATTTTCATATCATTCTCATACGTGGGCTCTTGCACCAGTAGCATACGAAAGCCACGTGTGGGCGGCTATCTCTCCGAAATTGCATAATAATCCCCAAAAAAATATCTGTAAGACCATTTTCATAGAACTAAGTCTGGCACATATTCGGACATATCATTCTTCAGTGTTATATAAAAACAAATTTAATTAAAAGCGTAATCTAACACAGTCCGTTCCAACTAATTTCATATGACTATGAAATTAAGACCCAATTTCATGGAATGAAATGAAAATTAATATGCAATTATTTGTATTTACAGACATAAATCCATATTAGATTGTTGTTACAAGTGTAGAGAGTATGTATGTGTGAATTACAATTCTCCTGTGACATACAAAGATACATCATAAATATAAGGACATTATTTTTGCATATACACATACATGCATACATGCATAAATGCTTATGCTTGAATGATTAATTTCCCAAAACGAAAGCAATACTAATTATGTTTGAATATTTTATTTTATTATAACTTTTCTTATTTAAATTTACTGCAATATTACCACCGCTCCCAAGCTCTGGACACTTTCGTAGGTTTTATGCAACACAATGCGTTCGTGCTGGAATACATAAAATCAGAAACTAACTAATTGAAATTTATTTATGTGTTAATTAAATGAGCAAATTGACATTAAAATCATTTTATTATAACAGATTTACAATAAAAATTGTAAAATTAATTAAAAGTTTGTGAAATATGTATATGCAAATATAATATAATTTTAATCAAATATATATCAATTAAAAAGTTGTAACAAATTAATAAGATAATATTATATGTAAAAAATAACAGGCCCTGCTGGAAATTAGTGTGTAGACTGCTTGAGTTTCTTTTTCAAAGAAAATTACCTAGAAAGTAAGACAGATACGAAATACCTTCTAAGATATCTATAGCTCCTACTTTCCCTAGATTTAGGTTTGTTTTCCTCTCTTGATATTTCTGCTATTATTTTTTAAAACCAAAAAATATTTATATCTGCTGAAGAATAAATTCCTAGTACAATTTGTACATACTATATTTATATATTTATATATATTATAGTTGTTTTATTTATAAATTTCCCTGCTAGGTTTTCTTCAACTGCAGAAACGTGATTGCGAATAAAATTAATTAGCGACAACAAACGCGTTTAACAACAGCCCGTCTGTCAGCCAGCCAACCAGCCAGCATGTGTTACGTGAACTTGTCTTGTCTTTGCCTATTTGGCGTGAAATAAAATATTATAAAATACAATAAAAAAGCAATAAACTGAGAATTTCTGGAAATGTAACAAAAAAAGTAAAATTTATTGGTCTTATTTAATGCGCAATGTCATGGCGGAGCTGAAAATACCAAATGCTTGTTTTGAGGTGGTGGAAAATAATTACATTGCATACAAATGATATGTATGTACAAATATATGCAAATATATTTGCCGCTGCCACTATCAATAAGTTTAAATTCTCTTTTTATTTATTTGATTCTTATAGATTTTTTACTAAAATGTAAATGTGAAGATTTTTATTTCTTTCGTTATAAATTAGATCGACAATACTCTTATTTGTAATGATATTGTAGCAAATATTGATTTATTTATAACTCATAATACAGTAATACAGATTTAAGTTCACACATAATTCATAACAAAAAATAAAGTTTTATGAAAAGTATTTTGCAAGAGATTCTTTATATTTATTTTGATTTTCAATCAACAATAATAATTTATTTTTACAACATGAGAAACAGATTTTATGTTGGTGCTGCTGCTGTTTGTTGATTGTCATTTTTATGACCATAGAAATAAAATTGCGAAGGAACATATTTTATTGCTTTCAATTTCATATTTGGAAATCACTTTGTTGATACAAATGTTTAAGGAGGATGTTTTTTTCATAAGCAATATATGTGACATACTCATATTTTCATGTAAATTTATAACGCACAAGTTTGTTTTTATTTTCAAAACCTTTTAATATGATGCTTTAGTTAAGTTACTTGAAATAGATAAATGGGAAAATAAAAATGAATGCAGTATTAAAATCAATCAAGTTGAAAATATTTTATACCGCTTTAAAAGAAAATAAATATACATATTTATATTAGAAATTATTATTTCAGCTTATTTATTTTACTAAATTACGAGTATATTTTAAAGCAATTCATCTGACATTGTCAAATTAATATAAGAAATTTTTCCGTTTTTTTTTTCATAATTTACAGTTCCACAGCAGCCACAATGTTGTACCTTGCGTATGAATAACTTTATTTTCTCGAACCTCATTTTAGTTAAAGAATAAGTTAATAAAATAGATAGAAATAAAATAATAAAGTAAATCAAAATATAACCAAATTATATAAACCGATACAAAATCTAATAAAACAATATAAATTAATTAATTGATAATTAATCATAAAAATAAATTAAGTCCTACTAAACATAATTAAATAAAATAGAAATAATAAAATAAATAAAATTTTGATCAAATTAAATTAAATTAAATAAACCGATATAAAATCTATTATAACAAAATAAAACAATTAAATTAACAAAAAAGTAATGTCATGAAATAAAATAAAGTATAAAAATTAAATTAAAATAAAATTTAAATAAAAAGTTACATAATTAAAAACAATTGAATTGAAATAAAAAAATTTAATAATTATAAAAATTAAATTAAAATTAAATAAAATTTAAATAAGAAGTTATATAATTAAAAACAATTGAATTGAAATAAAAAATTAAATAATTAAAAAAAATTAATTAAAGTGTAATTTAAAGAGAAAAAAATAACTAAATTAAAAAAAAATAAAATTAAAATGAATTTAAGCAAAAAAGTAAAGAAAATTAAATGATATTAAAATAAATAAATTACAAGGAAGAAAATAAAAAATCATATAATTATAAAATAATAATAACTAAATAATAAAAAAAATATTAATATCACAAAAATAAATTAAATCCTACGAAACATTATTAAATAAATTAAAATAACTTGTTTTACAGGTTTATATAACGTAAAGAAATAAATTATTAAAAAATAAATTGAAATAAATTGAATTAAGTTAAATAAATTCAATTCATATTAAAATAAATTTAAACAAAACAAATTAAAGTAAACTAAAATTTAATGAAATTAAATTTGCAGTAATATTCAAAATTAAATAAAGGTAAACATATATAAAATAAACTAAATTAAATTAAACTACATACAATATAGGTTAAAATAGCATTATATAATAAAATGTAACAAAAAAATATACCATAATAGACTAAATTAATTTATAAATGTAGTATAAAGTATAATGAAATAAATTTAATGCAAAAAATTAAGAGAAAGTCACATAAAATAAAATAGCATAAAATTAAATAAAATTAGGGAAGATCAAAAATGAAATAAGCATAAAAATAAAAGTAAAAGTAAACTATTGTAAATAAAAATAAAATAAAATAAAATAAAATAAAATAAAATAAAATAAAATAAAATAAATTAAATTAAATTAAATTAAATTAAATTAAATTAAATTAAGTTAAATTAAATTAAATTAAATTAAATTAAATTAAATAAAAGAAATAAAGAAAACTAATGAAAACGTTAAAAGAAATTAATTAAATTAAATTAATACTAATTATTAAAATAAGAGACATTAGATCAGTCTATTTGAAATTAAAAAAAAAAATTAAAAATATGGTCTGTGTATGTCTTTACATACAGTACCGACTCGCACATCGGCATGATGGCAAAGGTTCCTATAAAAAAATTGGTGTTAATTTTATGTTGCAAAACGTTCAACAAAGAAATTATCAGTGATTTCTCTGATTTCTATACCCAATTCCCATATAGTATTTTCAGGCATTCTAAAAAGCAATGAAAATTAGTTTTTTTTTACTAATATTGATCACCTTAATATAAATTATAGTTGCACTACTTCGTGCAATATTTTATAAATATGCAAAATATTTTGTTTGTTATATTTAAAAAAAAAAAAGTTGCTTACTCACTTCCATAGATTTAAAAAAAAAATTTTACATTTGCCTCCTAAAATATTGGCTGATATAGTAAAGTATTAAATTTTTCATGTATTTAATTACTCATATATTTCTCATTCTTACATTAAAATTTATGCACTTCAATACTGCTAATTTTAATTTTAAGAGCTCTTTAGTCTCATTTTTATAATCTGTCTTAGTAAGCATTATAATCTGCACATGTGAGCCATAATCTGCTTAAAAATACAGCTGAAACCTCTGCAAAAATACGTTAGAGAACTCTCTAACAGTCTGCTACATCTCTCTAACAGAGCATAAGCGCCGGTACTCTTTTCTGTTATTAACATGCTGCCTTAATCACGTCGCCTCGCCTGGCTTACCTTTTATATTAGGTTTTTGGTGTGATCGTCGTCGTTTCTAAGGTTTTACCGTCTTGCGCGCAAACGCTCATGCATAATTTATTGTTGTATTTCAGCATTTGCATAGTATATATGTACATATGTTTAAGTAAAATAATGCATACATACAAACGTACACTTTTACAAATATATGCATATCGTTTGATATCGATATACGTGTAATGTGTGTATGTGTGTATATATATTTTTGAATGCATTAAAAGCCACTTAGTAGTCAATACAACAATGTATTCACATTCTAAAAACCCGTCGAAAAATGTTTTTTGACAGCAACAAGAGAATATTTTAATTTTTTTTATTTCTTTTTTACTTTAATGTTTCTATTAAACTGTTGCGAACGTCATTTGTATATTAGAAATGAATACATCAGCTTGTGTGGGGTACGTGTGCGCGTGTGTGTGCGTGTATTTCTCTAGATACATTTATTATAAACAAAATATAGAGATACTCAACGAACGTCAAGCGTATTGGTCACTCAGTCATTTAGTCATTTAGTCATTTAGTCGATTTATCATTTGTTTATTTTCGACCGCCGCCGATCACTCATACGCCTTGGTTGGCTTGCCCTGGCTCGCTTTGGCTTGGCTTGGTTGTCGATAAAAGTTTTTGGTTTAAATTGTGGCTGACAATCAGGTCGCGCTCAATTCGTGAGACCTTCATTTAGTCATTGTTAACCATATATACATTTATATATGTACGTACATATGCATATGTACGATATGTGTATTTTGGCTTTGGCTGTACGGAAAAGAGAGAAATCTCACACATTTCCAATATAAGTAAGTTCATATGCATATATGTATGTTTGTATGCATGTATGTGTGCATATTTTGGTGTGTTTTTATTTCTTCATATTTTACGTATACGTTTATTATATTTAATGTCGTTGTGCTCTTGTCATTCATCTTCACCGGCTCAGTTCACTACTGTCCGTCCGTCGGCCGCGTCGTTTTGAGTTTGCGTTTTGTTTTGAAATAAAAGCTTTCGCAGTTTTTTTTTTGTCTTGGGTTTTCCTTTGTTGGAGTTCATACTCGTACGAAAAGTGTAGATTTTTTGCGTCGCTAATAAAGAAATTTCAATTAAAAATTTTGACATTTCTGAAATATTAGACGAGCATTACAAGCTAAGTACTAGTGTATCGGAACTGTTCGTCATTGCGCGTGTTTAAATATTCTTGGCTTAATGTATAAATATTGTGTCAAATATGCTCGAAGGTAAATTTTCTATCATTTTTTGGGTTTGTTGTTCATTGTGATGCTTGATTGTTGGTTGCCTGTAGTAACCTGTTTATGAAATTTCAATTTGTTTATATGTATGTATTTTTTTTCACTATTGATGTGGTTCTTGTACATGAAAGCGTCTAAATTCGGATTTTAGTTTAGTTGTGTTGCTGTCGTAATTTCGATGAACACGTGCGTTCGTTTAGTGTGCTCATTTATTGTGCATATTCACCTGTTGAGTGAAGCAAAAATGTTTTAGACTTGACGTTGAAAAAAAAAAAACTATATACATCTATATACACTAGTAGTTTTCAATAAATTTTGAAATATGTGAATGAGAAAATGTGTGATTTGATAATTATCTTGGATTTTTTCTAGCCACTATGGTGATGTGATGCTCTTGAGTGATGTGTTTTAGTAAAGTTTTCGGCACTGATGTCATCTGTGTATTTTGATTTAAATATCCGAATGGAAATATGAATTTATGATTTTTGTACACTAAATTTTCTGTTAATGGGAATCACGTGATTGCATCATGTGATGTTGTATTTTGAGTAATGATCTATATCGCGGTCTACATATGTATGTGATTTAAAAATTGTTGCCAAATTAAGAAATATACGTCAGTACCATATGTGATATATAATTTTTATTTTTATTTTAAGAAAATTTTCGTTCAAAAATTAAATTTTTGTGCGTGTTTGAGATGTAGCATTAGTTGCTGAAGATAGTAAAAATTTCAAAAATTTCATCCAAGATTTTATATTAAAAGTGCATAACTTTACTTGTTTTTGGCGTTGAATTTTAAAATTGATTTAGTTTGAGTGTCACCTAATAGTGATGTGATGTAATCATTTGATGTGATGAGATGATGATCATGTGCTGTAATTCTTTCAAATTTGCCTTTATTACTTTTAAATACAATTTAAAGTTGGGACAACCTTTATTCTTTTTGTGTTAAATTAGTGATACATTTCTTTTTGTTTTTAGATATATTTAAGCATATCGATTGGCGTGATGTGATGATGTGATGTGTCATGTTAATTGTTAATAATATAAAAGGATCGTAAATGAAATACTAATATAATCATTTCAGATATTTTTGGTCAAAGCTTTACCTTTTTGATGTTTTTCCTAAAAATCGAGACATCACAAGGCTGCCTCCGAAAGAATTTTCATGAGAATCTTTTTTTAAAACTTGTCATACATATATATGGCGATGTTTAATAATAAACTCTTAGTAAATATAAATCATTGATTTTATAAGATCTCGAAAAATGGAATTACTTCTGGGGCTAACTAAAGCTGTAGAAAAATTTGCTTCTCTCAAACCATAATTTGAATTTCTCTCTCTCTCTCTCTATTCAACATTGCAGTAAATTAATAACTATTTTATTAATTAAATAATAAATATTTCTCTCTCTTCTCAGGTCGCGATGATCTCTCGCCGTCGAGCAGTCTCAACGGCTATTCGGCCAATGACAGTTGTGATGTTAAGAAGATCAAAAAAGGACCAGCGCCACGACTCCAAGAGGAATTGTGTCTGGTTTGTGGCGATCGTGCATCCGGCTATCATTACAATGCGCTCACCTGTGAAGGCTGTAAGGGTTTCTTTCGACGTAGTGTCACGAAAAATGCCGTATATTGTTGTAAATTTGGACGATCCTGTGAAATGGACATGTATATGCGACGAAAATGTCAGGAATGTCGAATGAAAAAGTGTCTAGCGGTGGGCATGCGACCGGAATGTGTTGTGCCGGAGAACCAATGCGCTATGAAGCGACGTGAGAAGAAGGCGCAAAAGGAGAAAGAGAAACAAACAACTGGTAATTCGCCAATTATTTGTAAAACTGAATCAATAAAGAATGAAATACTCGAACTGATGAACTGCGAACCGCCGTCGCATCCAACATGTCCGGTAAGTTGATGAGCTGGAGTTTATATTTTAAAACTAAAAGAGCTCATATTGAGTAAAACTACCTCTCTCCTTTGCTACATTTCAGTTGCTACCTGATGATATTGTGGCCAAGTGCAAGGCGAGCAACATTCCGCCGCTCACACGCAATCAGTTGGCGGTCATATACAAACTGATCTGGTATCAGGATGGCTATGAACAGCCATCGGAAGAAGATCTCAAACGTATTATGGTACGTATATGATAGTGGAGACTAATCCAAAAAAAAAAAAAAAAATTGTTTAGAAGATGTCAACCTCGAATTCTTCTATTTGTTCAGGATTGCTTTACAAACTGAGTTTTGACTAATTAACATTTAATTCTTTTCTTGAGTTTAGTTCGTATGCTAATCGGTAACCCTTTTTTCTGTTCCACAGAGTACCCCCGATGAGAACGAAAGCCCAAATGATATCAGCTTCCGGCATATAACCGAAATCACCATATTAACAGTACAACTTATTGTGGAGTTTGCAAAAGGTTTACCGGCATTTACGAAAATTCCACAAGAGGATCAAATTACGTTGCTGAAGGTAAGCTCACATAGACTCACTTAGTTAACAAGCAGATTTTCTAATTCCCTTTTACCTCTCGCACAACAACACAGGCCTGCTCATCGGAGGTAATGATGTTGCGTATGGCCCGACGTTACGATCACAATTCGGATTCCATATTCTTCGCCAACAATCGTTCATATACGCGTGATGCGTATAAAATGGCCGGTGTGGCTGATAATATTGAGGATCTATTGCATTTCTGTCGGCAGATGTACTCGATGAAGGTCGACAACGTCGAATACGCACTCCTCACTGCCATTGTGATCTTCTCCGATCGGCCGGGACTCGAAAAGGCCCAACTAGTCGAAGAGATACAAAGTTACTATATCGATACGCTGCGTGTTTATATAATAAATCGACATTGCGGTGATTCGATGAGTCTTGTCTTCTTCGCCAAATTACTCTCCATTTTAACCGAGTTGCGAACGCTCGGCAATCAGAATGCCGAAATGTGTTTCTCATTGAAATTGAAAAATCGTAAACTGCCGAAATTCCTCGAAGAAATCTGGGACGTACATGCCGTACCACCATCCGTGCAATCTCACATACAAGCCACACAAGCGGAACGTGAAGGTTTAGAGCCGAACACAGCAGTCGCCACCACATCCACATCAGCGGCAGCAAGTTCATCCTCCGGTTCGCCCACTGATATGGTAACTGGTAGCAGCGGCGGCGGCTTTGCGAATCATTCGCCCAATTCCACGCCAGTCTCATCGTCAGCAATCGGTTTGAACGGTGGTCTATCGTCAGCGACGACGGCTGGTACGTCGAGCCTCTACGGCATGCCACTAAAACAAGAGTATATCATGGGCCCCGGCAGTGGTATTGGTATCGGTGGCAATCTGACGCTTAAATCAGAGCATTTAATTGGCATGCAGCTATCAGGGGACCATCATATGATGGGCATACAACTGAAACAGGAACATATGATGGGTGGCATGGATCACAATACGGCGGCATAGCAGCACGCACAAGTGCAACAACAAACCCTACTGCTCGGCAGCAGCTCTGGTGGTGACAGTGGTGGTCGTACGCTACACGACCATGATGTTAATATGGACGACAGTATGGATGATGCAATGGAGGGTGGTGATGCGGTTGCCGTGGATGCCTTACATGGCAGCGGTGGACATGTGCTGGAATGAAGTGAATGATTGGCAGGGTGGAGAGCAGCTACTGAGGAACAGAAGCAGTTGTTTTTTTTTTATTTTGTGTGTTATGCAGCTTACATGCGATGCGCCTTTTTGTTTAGTTTAATATTAAGCTTTTGTTTGTTGTTAAGCGGTGGGGTGAGGGCGCATACAGCATGGAGCTGCGTTACGTAATGCAATGCATGAAGAAGACTGGCAGTGTATGGCAGCTAGACAAGCAATTAAGGAAATTAGGGAAGTTAGAAGCAAGGCAAATATAATACATATATATATATATATATATATATATGCGTGTGTATGTGCGCGGGTAAAAGCACATACATTTAAAATAAATTCATAAATATATATGTACATATATACGATAGTGCATACGTTAAATTTTGTTGATTTACTGTGCAAGCTAAATGAGAATAAAAGAAGAAGAAGAAAAAAAACAGAAACAAAAAACTGCAGTTATTTAGTGATTAAGTGAGTTCGCGCAAGCGTTGCGGCATTCATCGCTATCGGTGGTGGCCAAACAAAAAAAAAAATACAAAAGGAAAAAATTGTAAATTATTACTAACGCTACTGAACTGTCGCAAGCCAAGTGCGCCATTTTGTATTTTTACTTTTAAATAATTAATATATTAAAAAACAAAAATGCTGAAGGTTCGAACGTGTGTTTCCTTTTTGTTTATTTTCAAGCAAAAAATGAAACAAATGTAAACATGAAAACAGCTAAATATTAAAGCAAATGGAAAGTTATTGTAAAAACGGAGCAAAAGTACTGTAGTTGTAACTATAATGTAAAATACATATGTATATGTATACATATATATAAATTTAAATTATAGCAGTAATTTATAATATTATAGCATACAGTTAGCTGTAGCAACATCTTAATGTCTAAGCGAACTTTTCAATTGCATATATTCAAACAAACATACATACATACATACATATATAAGGAACAAGACAGTGTTTTGTAGTTAGACGAAGCGAAGACACACACACACACACACACAGAATATACACTCACCTGCAGACACATAGACAGGTATTAGAAAAAGAAAACTACAAATAACACTTTAAATCGAAAATAAAATAGAATGAGCAAATAAATGAAAATCAAATAGACCGTTTTTCCTAACTTATAAGTAAAAGTTGTTTAAAGTTTGAAGAATGAATTGTGTAAGAAATATTTAACGTTTTTTTTTTCTGTTTAAGTATATAATTATTATGTAACCATATTTAACGTTTATTGACTTTACTCAACCGTACACAAACCACATAAGCATCTGATTTTAAGCTTTATTCACAAAGCAAACAAATTGTTAAATTGTTATTAAAAAAAAAAAATTGTTGCAGATAACTATACAACATATAACTTTTAATATCTTTATTTACTTTATTTAAAGGTGTCCATTTCAAATCTGTAGAGAATTTTGGACATTATTTTTTTTTTTTTTTTTTTTTTTTGATTTCACATTGAAACAACTTTTTTGTGCACATAAAATTAATTTTGCTATTTCAGTAAGCACAAACAATAGTTCATAGTTTGAGTTGTGACCGAATTGAGTTTTTTAGCGCTATAATTAGCCGAATTTGCATATCAAATTTTTTAAACTTCAAACCACTTTTCTAACAAATTAGCGATATGTTTCTTGAATACAGATTTATGGATTACCCAAACCAATTTACAGTTTTGAAATCGTAAATATACTCATAAATATGTTGGAAAATGTAATTTTTGAATTGACAGCATATAAAGTTCAACACATTATTAGGTTACAGTTAAAGTGTAGTTTGAGGCTGATTTTGAATAGCAATATTTCAGTTCAAAAAACGCGTTTTTCAATATTTTGGCACTGTTTTCCAAATTACTATCTTTAAAACAAAGCTTTCTTGAGTTTTTAAATATAATAGAAATCAGACTTTATGAATTCATTTAAAACTTTTATTGCAAAGCATTAATTAATTATGTTAAAAGTAACAGTTTTATACACAACTGTATCCCGAAAACCAATTACAACAGTAACACTTTGCTTTCAAATAATTTTTAAGTCAATAATGTAATTTTTTTAAATTAATAATGTAATTTTTTTTTTTTATTTAAAAGCAGTAGCACTAATACCTAAACAAGAAAATATTTTTAATTTACTACAAATTCTGCAAATAGCAAAATTATTTTATGCGTTACAAAAAAACAAAATTTTTTGGTTTTCTATTTTGCAAAACGAAATTCCTTTTTTTTTGCTAATAAACTGTACTGGTTAAATAAAAAAAACAGCATACACACAAACTCATTTAAATACATTAAACGACAAGTTGGACTGATTTTTATATTAAAAAAAAATAAATATTTAATAATAACTTTAAAAATTAAATGTGAGTAAAAAATAATATTTAATATGAAAAAAAGTAAAAAGTGAATATCAGGCTAATATTATCGCAACAACTACTAAATCCGTAAAAGTAGTTTTAATGAAATTAAAAAAAAAACGAGAAATTAAAAAAATTAAGGCATTTGAAAATAAGTCTTTTTTTTTGAAATTTTCAAAATATAAAAAAAAAACTACAAAACAGTGAATGTAGCAAAATAAATACGTCATAATTCCCTCCTATTTTTTCTAACTTTGAATTTTCATTAAGAATTTTTCGCTTTTAGTAAGGAAATAAAATCTAAGGCACATCCATACATACATACATATACAAATAGAAAGGCATTTTGGCATTATCCATTATTTAGATATATACGATCATTCGAAACTCATTTTTGACGGCATTTTTTTAATCTATTATTTTGTTAGATAGCCTTATTTTTCTCTTTTGGAAAAACTTGTAAATATATTTCTTTAATTTATTAATTTTTTTAACTTTGCTCATTTCAACTTTCTCAAAAAAAAATTAATTATATTTTAGTATTTACTGAAAATTATTAAACGATATAAAGTAGTTACAAGGAACTTTTTTAATATCATGGTTTACATGAAATGCGAAAAAAGAAATATTGGAGAAGTGATTGGAATTTGAAATTAAATATCTTTTTCTATTTTTTTCATGAAACTCCTAATTTTAGGCTGCTTTGCTCTTTGTCGAAAATACAATTATGGTTTTAATTAAAAACGAAATGACAAAGAAAGATATAAAAAAACCCTTCTTGTTTTTTTTAGTCGTAAATTGGAAATATTAAAAATTTTGAAATTTTCTTTAAAAAAAAAAAACAGTATTTTTAAAATCAATTTTGGTTTTCTTTGAATAAAATATAATAATAATAATATTTACTCATTTTATTTGCACAAATACTTTAAATTTTTAATTCCCCTCCTATAAAAACTCATGGCAATAACCCATTCCTACAATCACTCATTTCGCGCAAAAGACTTTAAATTTTACTTGTTTTTAAACAAAAGCAAATTTTATACAAAAAAAAGTGTACGAACTTTTTTGTGCATTTCAAATTTACTCTTTATGCTAACAACTTGACACTGCAAAAAAATGTTTTTTTTTTTTTAACAAATACATATATATTTAGAGACTCTATTGTATTTCGCTTTAGGCTGGCAAAATTTTATTAACTAACGTCGAATTGAAAGCAAAAAAATCAAAATTTCTTCATACAAAATTATATATTTGTATGTGTATGTACCTTTTTGAATGAATCTTTAAGTTTAATTTATTTTATTTTTATATCAATTTTTTTTTTTTTAATTTTATTTTTAATTCTTAATTTTCGTCTTTAATGCACACTTTACTTGCTTTAAATTAACCAAAAATAGAATTTTTTACAAAATTTTTGGCAATATTGTATAATGTTTAATTTTATTTTATTAAAAAATAAAAAATTAGTTCAAAGAAATGATGGCCTTATTTTTTTTAGCAGCTTAAAAAGCGTACAAACGTTAACTAAATTTTTTTAAATAAATTTTTCCCTTCACACACTGGAAAGTAGTTTGGAATTTTATTAAGAAAAAAAAAAAACAACAACATACGCTTTGGTCAAAAGCATATTTTCTTTAAGTAAATTTTAATATTATTTTAGATTAGTGCGAAATGTATGATTTAATTAATGAATTATTGAAAAATTGTGCAATTTTGTATAAATAAATTTAACATTTTAATTTTTAACAAAAATTACTTGTATAGAAGCAAAAAAAAAAAAATGTGGTAAAAGTGAATATATTATAATTTTAAATTTAGACTTAATTTAATTTTATTTAGCCAACCAACATTTGTACATAACAAGTCAATGCGTTTAAAAGCATATGCATATTTTTATTAAACAAAAACAAAATAATAATAATAAAATAAAATAAAATATAATAAATAAACAAACACTATATACTATGAACTTATTATTTCACTAATTTAATTGTAAATTAATTTTTGCTTAGTTTAATTTCATATCTCTAACATTTGTAAATTGAATTTTTTTCGGTTTAAGATTTGAAAGCTAAAGAAATAATGCAAATAAGCGCATAAATGAAAGGCTTTTTGTTAACAGCAAATGCAAATTGTGTTGTTGCAACTCGGAAATTTAGTTTTTTAATTTTACATTTAACCTTAAAGGATGTGGCGCAAAATACACATACATAAATGCATATTTTTTAAATATTTTAAATTTAAATTGACAATTTTAATATAACGCAAGTAAAAATTTAATATTAATTACTTTTAATTTAAGTAATTTACCAATTAGTTTAACAAAGGAAAAAAATTGAAAAAACAAAAACATACAAAACTTTATTTCATAAATATTAAAAGCAAATATAAACAGTCATGCAAGTAAACAGTGAATTGTAATAAATTATTCCTCAAACATGTTAAGAAAAATCTGAATGATAATATTCTTAATTTTAGCTAATTCAAGTATTGCAAGCTAAACATACAGACATACAAAAGAATATATAAAAATATACATACATAAAAAAGTAAAATATAATAACGCCCAATGCGACAGTCATTTGCCTTCGCTGTTTTAAGCTTTTAATATATACATACATATAATATTTTTTTTTTTAATTTTTAGCTATAATTGTAAAACACACACACACACACACACACTGTACTTTTGTTTTATTATGATTACAACTAAATATTATTATTATTACAATATTAAAATTATTATTATGTTTATGATAATGTTAATATTATCATTCTCTTTTTTAATGCAATTTACATATTTGCAACGTTGGACGTGGCAAATAATAAAAAAAATGCAGCAACGCACTGCAACACTAATATTATTAATAATGTTAAGTGAGAAGTAGAAATGAATCATATGCAGAAAAAGTCCACCTTGGACTCGAGTTGATGGAGGAGTACAGTAAAGAAAATAAAATGTTGAAAAAATTATTGAAAAAATTAAATAAAATATATGATTTGTTTTATTTTCACACATTTTTTTCTCAGTTTTTCCGTATAAACGTGCATGTAT